TCCGATCCGGATGCTATGAAACAAAAATAGGTTAAAAAGCTATGGCATGGCCTCTAGTTTTACAGTGTAGACATCAAAACCAGAGCTATCAGCCTCCCTCTAGAGGTAACAGACAGACTTAGACGTGTCTAGAGTGTTATTTTTATTATCATAATGCAGACATGAAGTATGTTGGGTAGGAATGTGCCTCGGATCCACCTGGACTTCTCTGCTGATAGGGAGGTCATGTAGACAGTGATTGCAAATGGCAACATCACATTGTCCAGGTCTAATGTTAGGGAAAATAAAACCTGACACTTAATAAGTGGTCAAACATATCCATATTTTTTTAGAAATAGAAAAGAGATTACAATTTAATTAAAAACACTGTAAATCATCTTCCTCTTTCATAAGCAGGATACATAATAACTTTATAGGTAATACCTGCAAAAGCCACTACATTATCATCCTTCTAATACGTACTTAAAATACCTCTGCGCCATAATGCATACTGAACCTGGTTTCTGATACAATCCACATACATGGTGATTTTACGATGATTGCCTAAAAACTGTGGACACAGCCATTCCTATTGGAAGATCCTGCTGTTTTATAATTCCCCCACAGTCTTTGTTAACTTAGCTTTGGCTGCATTGTACAGCATCTAGCCCAAAGGTGTCCTGACCAAAATTTGAGGATTGCAAGTGCTGCAACAACAGAAGGATGTAGTGTAATAGTTGGTATTTTAGTAATAAATATGCTTATTTTGGCCATTGTCAATGCTGATTTTGGGCAGTATGGAATGCTCAAGTGAAATGAACCAAAGAAAGTCCTTCAGTAATATGCTTGGTCATACCAACTGCAGCCACCATGGGAATGTGCACTTGAATTAGGGACCTACCCAATGGACATGAGCAGACCTGAAACGGAGCCGGTATACTTTTGGAAGATGATATTCCTGCAAAATTCCAAAAGAAGTTATTACCCACAGCTCAGTAAGGATCACCTCCTAGCAGAAGTCAAAGCATTAGAAAATTTTACCCATTCTGTAGAAACGTCGTAACTACTGTGACTGTTAAATTGGGACTTGACATGTTTCAGCTCAGCTTGTCTGTCATATTTGCTGTGGTGATGGGAAACACCAACGCTTTCACTGCTGCTGCTGGTGCCGCTGCTGGTGCTTCTGCTGCTACTGCTGCTACTCTGTGTACTATGCTTCTGCTCACGGACACTTCTCTCTCCTTCAGCAGCGCTGGCATGTGGAAATGATGTGGTCTTGGACTGTTTCTTAGCCTTATGCTTTATACCAGATGCTTTGCTACTGCTGCTGTTGCTGCTACCTGTGCTGCTACGGCTGCTGCCTTTGCTGCTGCTACTCCTGCTTTTGCTGCTACCGCTGCTACTACTACTGCTGCCCTTGCTGCTGCTACTGCTGCTGCTGCCCTTGCTGCTGCTACTACTGCTACTGCTTTTGCTGCTACTGCTGCTGTTACTACTACTGCTTTTGCTACTACTGCTGCTGTTACTGCTACTGCTCTTGCTACTACTACTACTACTACTGCTTTTGCTGCTACTACTGCTGCTTTTGCTGCTACTACTACCACTACTACTGCTACTGCTGCTACTACTACTACTACTGCTTTTGCTGCTGCTACCGCTGCTGCTTCTGCTGCTACTGCTGCTGCTTCTGCTGCTACTGCCGCTGTCCCCAAAGGGGTAGAATTTCTTTCCTTTGGCTTTGGACCGTCTTGCTTTCAGATTTATCCGGGTGCCTCCCTGTGACGCTCTGTTGTCAGAGTCGCTGCTGGAGGGGCTGCTCGTTGTGCTCTCAGCACTTCCACTGGCGCTGCTGGCACTGGATGATGAGCTTCTGGATTTTCTTTTCCCCTAGTCAATGGTACCATTGGAAAAACAAAATTATTTTTCTGTGTTCCTGCAGAAGGCTGTAAGTAAAATCAGATACAGAGAGCTATGAATCTCTCTGCTGCCTTAGAAGACAAAATGTATGCCTGGTAGCATTCTTGCAATACATCACAATAAGACAAATTTATGATAATGTGTTAAAACCATACATAAGTATAACAATACCCCAAACCCTTTTGTGATAATGAACAGGCGTAGAAATTGTTGGTCATACAATTACATGTAACTAACGTTGGTAATGACAGTGCTGTAGCTGTGACTATCTCAGGGCATTGTGTGGGTAGGTGTCATACCTTTTTGCTACAGTTGCAGTAGCTGGACAGAACAGACTACCTTTTGGGCACACAGCAGCTATTTTGTGTCTTACAAGAGATTTTCAGAAAAAGCTACAAAACCAACCTGGTCTTTCTAATGTCCTTCACTTGCAGAAGAGAAGAATGCAAACAAAAGACCTGCAGAGAGACTTGTGTACCCCAAAACCTGTCTTTATTTTCCAATTTTTGTATACTATCTAAACAAAGGAGGCTACTTAGTAAAAGAACTATAAATAACTAAGCTTTGTGTAATGTCTCCCACAAATCTAGAAGTAGATTTTTACAGCAGTACCTGGTCATCAGTATCATCAAGGATTTTCTTCACTCTTTTAATCGCTTCTTTGCTGGAAGATACTTGTGCCTTTGGATCTTCAAATGTTACTAAACGTACCATTTTTGTAGGAGCTTGGTCTCCTGCTTGAATTGTGACTTGCATTTTTTCAATAGGTGCCTCTGTGTAAACTGAAATTGCACAACAATTACTCTTACTGTTAGTATTAGCAACTGAATAATAAAATAAGCAATTTTTGCTATAATTTATTTAGCCATTCTGCCATAAATGAAAATATAAATGTTCATTGATTATTTTTGGTATCGAGCAACTTTGTTAAAAAATTTCTGTAATAGCTCAAGCACATACTTGAGCTTATTTAAAAAAACCAAATTTTAAAATATTAGTATGATACTAGATTCTTTCCAAGTCAATAAACAGAATGATCAGCAGATTTAAGTCAAGCGAATTGGACTGCTAACTAGATAACACTATGGAATAGCAAATTAGGCATCAGAGAGGAATTGAGGCTCAACTCTTGTAAAGAATGGCCCAATGGTTAGGCCATTAGTTTGATACTTAGGAGACCTAGATTCAGTGGCCTGCTGTGCTTTTACTTCGTATGATCATGGATTAAGACATTAAGGACTAGATCCTGGCAGGGTTAATCCATAATTCCCTTTAAAAGCCTGGGTTTTTAGAGTGTAGCTACAGGACACTGCATCAGATCTATTGCCCATGTCCAATTGCTCTGTGCTTGCATCCCAAATCCAATGATTCAGGATGCATCAGACACGCTCTGCAGGCACAGATCAGCTCTGCTTGACGCTGGCCATGCTGAGTGGCATTGCTGGGAGAGCTGGGAAATTGCTGCTCAGACGAGGGGGGGAGAAATGGATTCCTGCTACAAGCGTAGTCTGTTGCCAATACTGGCAAGGCTGGTAGGTCTAATGGTAGTTTTCGTGGTACTTAAGATACAAAAGATGTGTATGTACATATACAAATATATATGTGTATATACACAGACCCCTACTCACCCACCTGTTACTTTCTTACACAGTTGTACTTACCTGGCTTGAAGCTCATTCTAAGGGCGTGCTCTCCAACTAGGTAATAAAGAGGCACGTTTTTGATAAATGCTGCATGTACGCTTTTCCTCTCAATGCACACTTGAAACCCAAATGTACTTGCGTTGGAGCACATAGACTGAACAAATGGCTCTTTTCGGGAAGAAGGGTGTCCAAAGGAAAAGGAATTTCCCAATGAAACATCTTCTGCAGACTGTCTGTCCTATTAGATAATACACATGTCAAGTTAAACTGCAATACTTGCATGTTATGAGTCCTGTTTTGGTAATAGTTACATGTATTCCGCAGGAGGAATTAACCAGCTTGTTTGAGAGAGCAAGGCTGTGACATAGGACAACTTGGTTTTCAATTGGACAAAACTATCAACTGAATGGCTTGATTAGACTGTCTAGTGTAAAAAGAGCTTCAGGCTATAAGAATGGAAAATTACATCACAAATTAATTCTAAATATTTAATTTTGTTTTCCTGGAGTATTAGACATTGTTAGCAGGTTCTTGATGAATCTGAGTGTGCTCTAGACTGACTAGAGTTCTTTCCTTTGATTTACGATTGGGTCAAACAACAGAACCTTCATCTATGTCCATGAAAATTTTGTCTCAGTTGAGGTCTGACATGAATGTGAGACTGTATCAACTAAATGGTCAAAGGATATCAGATGTTGGAAATTTCCACTCAAAACTATGTAATTTACATGTGCTAAGCAATGCTTGCAGAAGAATAAATTAAAATTAATTAAAATTAGAATCAAACCCATGAAATGAAAACTATGATTTCCTGGTGCAACGAAGCAAATGGCTAAAGACACATAATCGTAAGCTTTCATTTCACGTGTAATATAGGTCTGCAATTAATTTTTTACTCAGTTTATCATGTCTCACAAGATTCCAAACGTGTATGAACCCCACTGAAAAACTGGAATTTTAATGCTAGTATTTTCTTTCCAAAGGAAATTCTAATGATACTGGGAAATGCTCCAGTTAGTGCCATTTTTCAATTGATGTTCATTTAAGAATAACTGTGGACTGCTGAGTTTTCAGGAAGGGCAGCACAGAGGCACAAAGCAGAAGAACTTTGCTTGTTCCAGGATATTGGAAACTGCTCTCACTGACAGTACGTTTGCCTGTTGACTTCTCCATAGGAAAATGCTGTACTCATCCTCTGTTTGTCTCTTATTTTATCTGAAACCCCTTCAGAGTTCAGGACAACAACGAAACTAGAACAGGACAGTGTATTCCTCACCTCTGTCAGTCTTTCACTGAATGAATTGTCACGGTGATGCCTTCACAACGCTGCCCATCATAGAAAGCCTGTACTGGCTTTTACAGAAAACTGTAGCTCAGGAAGTCATTTGACTTGACACACAAACTGCCATCCATCCTTGAATCAGGATGCCTATAAGCATTAAATTTGGCTCTAGAAGTTGAGCAATGGAGCGTCTTGTAGAACATTTGTGGCTTCCCAGGAATGTGATGCTTGCATAATGGTTGCAAAGTATTTCAAAGATTGTGGGCCTATCCTGTAGATGGCAGTGTAAAATTAATTACCAAAGAAAATGCTTTTGCTTTTGAAAAAGTGTTGCAAGTCTGATGTATTACACTCCAGATTTTAAAATAATGTTACTATAGGGCTATTTGTGTTATTAGATTGAAGCTGACTTATTTTGAGCGAAGCAGCATTGGTCAGAGATTAATTGTACATTTTCCTATGGAGAAAAGAAATGGTCTCCCACTGATTAAAAGCCCAAAAAAGAATAGTCAGACACTACATCATTTACCCTGATGTTATCAGTCTCGCCTGATGCAGAACCTGAATCGAAGGACATCTTCATTATGTCAGGCACTGCTTCAGGTAGAAGAACTGGAGTCATCTTACTAGCAGCCAAATCCCCAATATTTCGTGTAACAGCAAATGTCTTAGACCTGCAGAATAAACATTAGAGGAAACCTGTATCAATAAAGCACTGCTGAGGAAAAGACCTGAATAATGCCTTGTAGCACGTACTCAGCAACAAGAATCATACCTTGCAAATTGCTTTATAGATATTTACAGCATCTTTCCTGTCAGTTGTATTTTCAAGGACTGCTAAGAGTGCATAAAGACATGGACCAATCCCAGGGGCAGATAGCTGAGTTAGGCTTTTAGAATCACGAGTATAGGTTGAAAGCATTGCAGTTGACGGGATCTCTGTATGCTTAACACCTTGAAGAACAGCCCACTTAGAAGCCTGGCTGTGCATTACATAATTAAATTTTTGAGTCTCCTGTTTTGATCTTCTGGACTTTTAAATTTTTAAACTCATCTTCTCTGTGTTCACTGCTAAACTTAGTTCTCATTTCCTTTGACATTGTATTTGGGAAAATACTGCCGTAACTTCAAAATACAACCTAGGGACCGGTGGCTACTGAATGCTGTTTCCTGTGCAACTTCTGTTAAAGCAGAATTAAAGAAAGGAACTTGAAATCATCGAAATAAGCGTCTCCAGCTTGATCTAAAGTCACTGGTACTCATGGCTTGGCCAGGTTTGGCAAGACATCACAGAGACATATGTAGGAATGTTAAGAGCCTATTTACGTTAATGTGTTCAGTACATTGTTTCCAGTGTTGTGGACTCTAAGAGTATTAGTCAGGATCCAGGATGAGTGACATAAGGTGCAGCACGAGACTGAGATTCTCACGGCTAAATATCCTGACTCCCTGGCTCCATACCTCATGTTCTTCATGGAAGTTGTTGCAGTGCTGTGATAACTATGAGTTTTGTTTTGGGTCAGAGAAACATCTTGAATACTGAACACTTCTGAGAGATGAAACCCTATTTCCCTCAGCTATTAACTTTGTGCTAACTCTTCCTTATCAGCCGTTTATCAGCGCTAACATCCAGCTCAAAATTCCCCACGTGCTGTTTCTCAAGTATGAAGTTGATCTGCTTGCCCTGGGGCTTTTGTGGTCTGCCAATGGAGGTGGCCTTTGTGACAGTGAATGGAAAGATGGTCTGCAAAATGGTCTCTATTTTAATATGGCCCACACTGTACTAGCCTGAGCAATTCCAATCTAACCTGTTTGAAAGATGAATTTGTATTCATTTGATAGCCCTCTCTTCCTCTTGAAAGCTCCTACCGTGCTGTGTGCACTGTAAAGCACACAATTGCACTACGTGTGGAACACCTCAATAAAACGTGTGTCACCTGTGGGCTTTGTTTTCTTTCCCATCTCTCTTTTTTTAGATAAGGACATGACAGCAACACTCCACGCTGGGTGATAGGAGAACCCTGAAGAATGGAATTTGAAATAAAATATTCTCCCTAACAAGCTGAGGGGATAAAAGAAAATACAAATCAACTTGCATTTCAGATGGCTCATCGGGGTAAAGGGACAAAAAGGGAAATGGCTTTTATTTTAATCCCATTCAATAATTCAAATGACCACTGAACTGCAGGCTGGGTCTCCAAGCAGAAAGTCCTGGGGTTTCTTTTCCAATTTTTTTTAGTATTTTTTATGCCAATAGTCTACTCCTGCCACCTAATGAAAGTGGAGGATCGATTCCTCCCTGTCGAGCACAGAGAGCCGACAAATGTAGCTGCATCACAGGTGACACATGTCAATGTCTGCAGAATCACACGGCACAGTAAAAATAGGCTACAAGAGCCAGCTCGGGTGCTTTAACAAGAAAAACAGTCACAAAGAAGGCCTAAAGCTATGGTATGAAAGAATCTGTTCTCTCTGATCCCACACAAGGGAGAAAAAATAAAAGGGAGATTTTCCAATATGTATTAGTGTATTTTTTGGATGAGAGAAAAAGCTGTGCTATAGTATAAGCCAAATTCACTGCAGGGGTAAGGGACAAGCAATTCAGCTGTGTTGGGCCCACTGATGTTTCAGTGAGTGTGGCCTTACATACATCCCTAACATGGGGACAGAAGAGCTCAATGTCTGTTTAAAACAAAGAAAATCAATGAAAAACTATTTTCCCAGGTTTTAAAGCACAGCATGACATCATATCTCAATAAATGAGAAGCAAGAGACAATCCTCCAACCAGATCTTTAGCTCTCTTTCTGCTGTGGTGAAATGAAAATTTCTGCCTTTCCTATGCATCATCCTTCTGACCTTGGTGCAAACACGTTATAAAAACAGAGACTTGGAGTGCCAGTCGTTTCCCTTCTCTGTCGCCAAACACACCGCGCTGCCTTGCGAGCTCACAGCGTACACTGGCTCTTCTGCATTTTCCGTTACACGTGCTGGATATATGTTGGATACAGAGTTGTAATTTCGTAATTCATCTTATAAATAAAATGTCCATGTGAAGCAATTTCTGCTTATCCTACAGTTAAAACAAGCAAAAAAGCCCTACGATAGAAGCTCTATTCAAGATTATGTATATACTTCAGTAGCCTGTCATTATGAGTATGCGATATATTTGCAAAGTGCATTCTCTGGCACCTCTCCATATTTATACTTTAATCACAGGGCTCTAATTTTTCCCTGAAATTTATTTGATTTTTACTTCTTCCTGTAAATTTTGTTTAAAAGTATGTTTAAGTAGCCATCTGTAGTATACCAAATATTATGCTAAAAGAGTCTTAAAAATAACTATTATTTTTAATTAGATTTAACTTTGATAAGATTGAATTGAAACACATGCTATATATTCTCTCCATGGTATGATTAATTATGTTGCTCTGATTTTTGCTATAAAGAAAGTTGAGTCTGTAATGTGCTGATTTGTCTTGGGAATTCAATCTCTCTATCACCAAAGTTTTCATTATTTTTTTTCTTTAGAGTCTGTGATTGCTCACCTGAGTTTCTCTTTGGATCCTGAAAATTTAGATAAATCCCACAGCTGTGAGAGGTTATAACCTGTATGGTGTGTAGGATATAACTGAACTTAATGCTATTGAAGACGGTTTGCTTCCTGCATCTGGGTGTGAGAGATGAAGGGGAAAATAATATCACATCCTGACTAGCTTTAACGACATGGTACTATAGAAAGTAATCCACGGACCATCAAGACAAAGTGCCCAATACTAAAATATTTTGAACAGAGCTCACAAACAAATGAAAGAAACCATTTCTTTAAATGGGGAATCTAAAGCTAACAAGGGAAGGTGTCAGAATATCTCTAAAATATTGAATTCAATAGGTTCTTTATTCTTTGGTGGATCTATGCAAAAGGAAGAGAAAGTCTATGTTAAACTAAAATTTTTGACTCATTCTATATAGAATATATATATATCCTTTAACTCCCTATCATGCCTGTTTGTTTCTCTTCATACCTTTAAGATTTTACTTTGCTTGGTCTTTGACCTCCTCAGTGATGTGGTTCAGTGTTATATTCTCTAGTTATTGCTTTGCCTTTACTTGTACTCTTTGCTGTTTCATTGTTCTGTGTGGCTTCTACTGACCATTTGTTTTGTAACAGTGAACGGGAATGCTTTTGGGAGAAAAATTGATGGTGCTAAAAGTTAGCTAGCGAGTATTAGCTTTCTCATATACTTGGCATTATAGAGCTATTTCCGACTGACTACTTCACTTTATAAATGATAATGCTGCAGGGTCTAGAGCAGGGCTTGGGCTGGAACTCATGAACTCCTCCGCTGTAATCCCCTGCCTCTGATACTGACTTGCTTTACGATTTCTGGCAATGCATTTAACCCTTTTTGTGTCTGATTTGATTTTCCCGTAAGTCAAAGGAGGAAAATACTTTTTATTTTGCTTTGCAGGGAGGATCCTTCTGCTAACATTTGTAGCTCTGCTTGAGGCTCTAAACTCTATATCAGTGTCCAATATTCTCGTTTCAGTTCAGCATCCTTACTGAGTTCATTAATATCCACCTCACCTTCTCGAACCTGAGAGCTAGTGAGAGCAGGTGCCTGCTGTCCTGATGATCTTGGGAGCAGACTATCCTGGTCTTCACACGAAACTGAACGAAACTTTTGGGCTGGGGTGCCCCAGCAGCTTACACACAGCTAAATGATGCTCTATGAACTGCCGAAACCCTCCCTCCTCTGCACGGAGAACCTGATTACAATCACATTTGATGGAGTGGAGGAATCATCTTAGGGAGGAGGATGCGATGTTAAATGCCTACTAGGATGGTCTGTGACCATTGAAGGGCAAGGGCAAATAATGATTAGCCTAACTGGGGGCTAAATGGAGGAGACCTGCAGAGCTTCTCTGGGCCAGCAGCCATGAATGCTAATTGCAGCTGGATCAAGCAACTGAGCTCTTTTGTTACGGCTGTATTCCTAGAGCAGAAACTTATTAACATTTCTGCGGATTGTATAATAGCTGATTTCTGTTGTCAGTGATGCTTTTTCCTTTGTGATGAATTTTCAGCTTGTCTTTCTCAGTATTTCTTCGCGTGTGTGTGTGTGTAAAGGTTTTCTAAGCTTTGGTCTACTGCTTTGATTCCTTGGACATACTTTTTCTGTTTCCTCCCTCTCTTTGTGCTTGTATTTCCATCTGTTTTCATTTGTTTGGCATCTGGCTACAACAGTTTTCCAGAGTGTATTGTAATTGCATGCACTGATAATAAATCAAATAGACCTAACAGGCAAGAAAACCACACGGCAGCCACAGAGAAACAAGATAAAAACACAAGAAACACCAAATCCTCTACGCTTCAAGGCATCAAATGCAAATATATATGGGTTATCTGTTATAACTGATAGGATTCAGCTGGCTTATATCTTACATAGTGTCTCCAGTCCAAATATATGTATTGAGATAGAAATTTTATGCCATTTGTGTTTCAAAAAGCTTAAGGGTCTCAACAACTGAGAAATGGTCCTAAAGAGGATTTTCAGGTGAAGACCACAGGAAGTAATGCATATTTTCAAGCAAAGCTTTGGTACATGTCACTTCATTTAAAATAAATAAACTACACCAATCATTGACAGTTACTCAAGCTGTCAGTCAAAGACAAGATCCCTAAGCAAATGTTCTGTTTTATTTGGAAAGACTCTGCATTGCTACATAGAAAGATAAGTGCTATGTCTTACCTTACAGTAATTATGTTAGTCTCATCTTTACATGGTGGAATTTCAATTTTGAAATTTTTTTCCTTCATATGGATGGTGGCAACAACATTCACAGGTACATGAGCATTCATTTTGGTGTGTGCTTCCAGCCCTGCCTGGATCATGTGTGTGTTGATCCCCATTACAAAGGTCATCTCCTTAGCCATGCTGAAAAGGTAAAATGAGGGTAAAATTATGTTCAGACAGCAAACAGCTGTTGAATTTTTACGGCCTCTGTCACTTGGAAATATAATTCTTTTGTTTTATACTAAATATTTACCTTAGACTCATTTTGGATCGCAGCCTAATGTTGGCATTTAGTAACTCAGTCAATCTGAAATCAGACTTTGGAGAAGGTGTAATCTGTGCTTGAACTATTACAAAGAAAGCAAAAAAAGTGTTAAAAATCCCCCCCAATCCTGACAAGCACGTTTGTATTGCTCAAGTTTTGAAATACATTACCATTTCCTGCCACTTTTGTGACAGAAGAGTAGTAGAAACTGGTCTCCGTCGGGAACCCGGTGCAGCTGGGCACGATACAACGGATCTCAGAGGACAGTAAAGCCTTGGTCCACTGTCTCCCTACACCACTTTGAAGGCTACTGATTATTCTCCTTATCGAAGGGATTTTTTCGTCAGGTCCATACCATGCCTGCAATTAGAGTTCAACTTGTTTAACTAAGCAGAACTTGAATATCATGATCCATGTCATTAACCGTGCCTCAAGGGAAAGTCTGCCAGCAATGATTATAGCTAATCCTGATCAAAGCTTGACCTTACTTGCCTTGATTAATACTAAAGACAAAACCCCCCTTGAATTAAAAAGTTAAAAAAAGGAAGAGAATGTGTAAAGAAACAGTATTTTAAAGCTTTTGATGCTTGGGTGGTAGTGTTTTCGAAATGATACCTGCAATGCATTTTGGATGGCGTTTTTATCAAGTCCACCAAAAAACAGCTCTTGGCCAAACATCTTCAAGTAGCCCGACACAAAAGGTTTGTCACTGGAGAATGCCTTCCAGTCAGAGAGCTGCATGAGAAGAGGAAGAAACTCTGATTCTTCAGAACATTTGGGGAAGCAATACCTTAGAGATTTTCTTTTCCCCAACAATTTACTGTTTTCAGGATTTCCTTGAAGTCATAGTCAGTCTCCCAGTCCCCGTCAGGAGAGTAACCTTTAGCAAACATCTCCAGCAGTCCTTCCACTGTTATTCCCACCTGTGGGAAGAAGTAAAGTGTAAATGCCAGCTGGATGATGGTCGCAAGAAGGGATGAGAGGGCAAACTGTGGGTAGACCCAATTACCTCCAAGGGATCAGCCACCTTTCCAAGGAAATGGGTCTGCAGCTGGGACATTGCCATCGTTGGAATTAAGCTGCCCGCATTATTCAATACCAAATATTTAGCTGCCAGTCCACTCATAAGGATCTCTGAAGAGAAATAGGCAGTAAAACACAGCACAGTTAGCTTTTAAAGCCACAGTGTGCAGACTGTATCAATTTACTAATTGCATAATTCAACAGATACAGCATGAAAGGAGGTTGTAGCGAGGTGGGGGTTGGTCTCTTCTCCCAAGTAACTAGCGATAGGACGAGAGGAAACGGCCTCAAGTTGCACCAGGGGAGGTTTAGATTGGACATTAGGAAAAATTCCTTTGCTGAAAGAGTGGCATGGCCTCGGAACAGGCTGCCCAGGGAAGTGGTTGAGTCACCATCCCTGGAAGTATTTAAAAGGCGTGTAGATGAGGCGCTTAGGGACATGGTTTAGTGGGCATGGTGGTGTTGGGTTGACGGTTGGACTCGATGATCTTAGAGGTCTTTTCCAACCTTAATGATTCCATGATTCTGTGATTCTATGATTCTATGATATGAGAAAGGCCAGAAAACCCAGCTATAAAAATGATGTTATAAAAGAGTCAAACAGATTATTCTGCATTTTTGAACCATTAATGGGCAAAATTACAAGCCCCCTGCTCATCGTGTGGTGGTTATGTTATTTTTCCAATTGCTTCTTCTATATCATTTATATCCGGTCAGATTCTGTAACGTCAGCTTATGAAATGCTTTTATGAGACATCATTTAGGGCAACTTGACAAAGGGGATCAGAAATGAAAACAGATTTGTCATCCTTTGCTAATAGTTTAGGGAAAGTGATATAGATGTCCTATAAGGACAGATGGTGAGGTGTAGATTTGTCTCTCAAATGACTCAGAGGCAATTTAATACATCTAGTTCCAAATGCTGTAACTCCTTACATAAAACTCACTAATTGTTAAGTAATTGTTAACTATTGAGTGAACTTTGAGCAAACATAATTTGTGTCTATTTATTTTCTCTACTTTAGATTTATCATCTAGAATGTTCTTAGATACAGATAATCAGTGCAGAGCACAGTCATGTATTCTTCCCAATCTTGGCACAGGTCTATACAGTCCTGTTTTCTGAGTTAAAGTAATCCCAAGGCTTTTCTAAGTTTCCTTGGGTTTTAAGAGGAACAAGGCTGACATGATATGTCGTGCTTCCTTTCTTCCAGCCCTCCTCTCTCTTCTCTTCCTACACTAGTTGGAGGACAGGGAAGTATTTTAGGAGACCCTATGCTCATCTTCTGCTATCCTTATGTTAGACACAGGCACCACGTATTGATTAATTTCCAGCACCACCAGAAATCAGCTTTGGAAATCCAGTACAGCCAGGATAATTGCAGAGCCCTGGAAGATCCAGACCAATAATTTCAGTACCTGTACAGAAATTATTGGCAAATTGTAGGAAATACATTTTCAAACATTATGAGAGGGAATGAGTCTTTGACCTCTTTCCAGAAAAGGAGTGCCTAAATTCTCATAAATTATTTAGCCAAAAGTTAAAGAAAAGATTATTGCTTGGTTCATAAATGTGGGATGTTATGAATACTCATGCCCATATTACTTCTCTAGTGCCACTCTGTGTGTTTCAGATAACATCTCACTTGTGAGTCAACACCTTCCCATTCTCTTCTGAATCCGTCTATGCAGACAGGGGTCTAGATGGTCCTTTACCCTTGTTTACTCCTCATGCTGAGTTGTTTCATATCAGATTGCTGGAACTAACTTTGATTTCTAATTTCTCAGGACAGATTCCAACTTTTCATGTATTTGAGAAACAGCCCATTGGAAAAGCAATCCACTTAGTCTACTAAATCCGTATGAACTGGCATTTCACTACATCACTTTCACTGTTTTGCTGTATGAAGCTCCTGTTCTACCCAAAGTGCTAGGCACTATCTATCTACAACATATGTGGTCCAGTAACAGCTCCTAATCAAAATACAGGTATGTACGCCACCCCACTGATGGCAGAGGAATCAGTGGAGAACCTTCAGCAGACAGCAAGGAGAGATGAGAAAAGCTCACATTTTAATGCTGATCCTATAGAAAATAAAAAGCAAAGTGATGTCACTCTGGGACATTACTAATAAGCTGACTTGAGACTTGGAAATGTGAAGACTAGTTTTTTCTCTGAATGAGCTTAGCCAGAACAGTCCTAGGTGTTATGTGGACTGGACACTAGAATAAGGCATGGTACTTTTAGTGAAATTGTTAAGGCTCTTTTTTTTGTGTTCTAACCCACAAAAACCTAGTTAAAAAACCCCATGGTACTTACTGATACTTAATAAGAAGTGTTTCTCATAAATGATTATATAGAATTCATTGACTTGAAGAGAGCAGGGATATTTTCTATACTTTAGGCATTACACAGCGCTAATGCTCTAAGAAAGTATTTACCAAAGAAAAAGCCTACTGCCACAGTCAGATGATGCATTGTGGCCACTTCACTGTGAGATGTGATGGCACTGGCATATATCTGACTAAATGTCTTGCCCCAAGGAAGAGGGAAAGAAAAATCAATGATCAGTCTTTGATCAGTTCATCAATCTATGAACATTGGTACACATATTTAATCACACGAATCTGTGCATATTCAAAGTCAGATTCTGTCACTCCTCACACTGAGCAGAACCTGGGTCATCCCTTTGATTTCAGTAGCAGTGTGTAGAGCATGAAGCACTATTTGTGGTGGCCATGTGTGACAGATTCCAGATTACAGATGGATTCAGCTGACATTATTGCCTGTCATTAAAAATTCAGCATCTAGCACCACAAAGATCTGTGATGCTGAGGGCACATTTTTGTTTTTAGCAAGGAAATAAGTACTGCATTACAGCCGTCACTATGGTAACTCCTCCAGAACGGACCCACTGAAACACATTTCACCTGTGGCTAGTGGTGACAAATCAAATCAGAAAGCTGGAGGATGGATCCTCCTCCCACAACCAGTGTAATAGAGGATTGACTTCATTTAGCTAACTGAGTTATCCAAGTCTAAGATTAGCATGTGTGAGAAAAGGATCTTGTTCCTTATCCTTCAGGATGCAAAGTTTAAATATTACATATGCATGGTAACAAAATTTCTGACACTGGTCTTCACCAAGAAGTAACAGCAATTCACTGATGTGCTGCATTTCCAGGCTACAGCCAGAACAAAGTAATCCATTTCACGTAGTCCTCTGCCAGCTACCCTCATGCGTACTGCACCCTTCTTTCTCACTGTACGAAAATTCAGATAGCTTCACTTTAAAAGCAAAAATAAGAGGAGAAAATGAATACCCAAAACTAGAAACACATATCTGCGTATTACTGGAAAATTTATCCTTCCCTGAATGCATTTTAAATGGTACAAAAGTTCACACAGTGCATGTTAGTGACTGTATTTCTTTGGGCACTCTCTGTCTCCATCTCTGAGGCAGCAAGCATCTGTATCATATATTACTGTGGTTGTTGTGGTATGTATTATATTTATTTTTATTATAGAGCAGATTAAATGGTCATGTAAAAACCATGAAACAGGGGCAGGGCAACAATAAAATCTACAAAAGTCTTTCAAAATATTCCCCCCCTCCAAAAAGAGGACAAAAGTACTTGTACACTTAGCACTGTGGATTTCAGATGTTTCAGAGTCTCTTTTTTTATTGATTACGTTGAAAATAATCTTTACACGTACCAGTGAATAACAAAAGCATTAAAACATCCAAGTCCTCCTAGATAAACAGCGTGTGTAAGGAGACTGTGTTTGTAGATATAATCTCCGTAGTCTGCCAGCTACATATGCCAAATCAGTGAGGCTGTCATGGTCATTTACATAGGGGAGTTGCTTAAAAAATCTCTACTGAGAAAAATAACATACATGGAAACTAGAAATAGCTACAATTTGGCCCAGCAAGAGCTGTCTTCTAATCTGGTCCTCCCTGCTCTGACTACGTTTTTATGTGCAACTCCCATTGAGGTAACTGGTCAGCCTCCAGACCCCATGCATGGATCTGCTCATTCCAGTAAAGAATCCTGGTAGGAAGGTGCAAGAAAAATCTTTACACAATAAACCTGAGTTAGCTGCTCATGGGTGCAATGATTTGTCACCTCTGAATGTTTTCAGAGTTTGCTGTCTCTCTGGGCACTACTGTTGGGGTGAAGAGTATTTAGCATCACATTTGAATTCAGCAAGGGTCGTAGGTGTTCAGCACCAGCAGAAATTAATCCACTTCAGCAGTAATTTAGGTCCCTTCTGTTTGTTTGGTGCTGAACAATGGTATGAAATTGTTAAGCACCACTGAGACTATGGCATTTGATACAGGAGCATGTGCCTCACCGGCTAATGAAAATGGAGGGTTAGAGCCCCACAAGCCCTCCGGTAATTTCATGCTGGCAGTGTACAATGCAAAACACACAGGGACCTAAACACTCACCAAATAGAGAGCCTGAGATTATTTTTTTTTTCACTGAACATAGAAGAATATGGAGGAACAACATGCAGCTCACCAGCTGGCTAGGACAATTGGGTTCTCATACTGTATGATTTTTTTCACACATTGACCTGTATATATTTCTCTACAAAATCTTCTGAATCTTACCTTTAAACATACTGAAGCGGAAAACTTTGCTGAACTGATATCCAGATCTGTCAAATTTGGCACTTAATACTCTGATAGCCATTCTGCAGCCAGAAGCCCTGAAAAAATTCAGTGAGCACATTAACACCTCAATTAGTTTGCAACAAGTTTTTCATCTAGGGAAGGGATCCAGGTTTTCCTTACATCACTTGAAGATCTGGAGCTGTGCTTCTACCCAGGGCCCTCAGGTGAGAGTAGATGAAACTTGCCACTTGCATGCTAGGTTCCTTCAGCACAGCATCAGCTAATGTCATCAGTATTGGAAGACCTGGCTTGGTTTCAAGCAAAACCACTGCAGCTAACATTCGGATGCGAGGATGAATTTTATGATTCAGGAAAATCTCAAGAGTAATAGCCTGCACCTGAAAATAGTAGATACATTCAAATTTACAGTATGTTTGAACATTTTGCTAATTACTATTCATCACTGGTGAATGATCTCTTCATCACTAGTGCAGTTAAAACTTGTATTATTTAATTATTATGGCAACAGTGTTCCTGGTTTCATAGTCTGGGGGCTGGAAGAGGCATTATGGTAATGTAGTCTGACTTCCTACACAATCAAAGCCAAGGAACTTCACTGGATAACTTCTACATCAAAGATATTATCCCTTTTTGAGCTATAGCAAAATATATCTGTACCATAACCACTCTAGGTAAAAGAGATTTCATGGATCCATCACATACCTGAGAAGTGGTTTCAGTTATCATTTATCCCTACCCATAAAGGGATGTCTTATTTCTAATCATTTGATCTCCTGGAGCCCTTTCTGCTAGAATAAAAACCAGGAATTTCTGTGTCATGTAGGCAGTTTAAAGCTGAAAGTTTATGCAACAAATGTAATTTCCACAGTACTACTTGTGACCAATGTGTTTGACCCCGGCAATATTCAGTATCAAGACTAATTTTGTACTGGAAGCTTTCCAGTTTCCATGAGCTGCACTGAAGCCTTTGACCCCGACTTCAGAATGGATGTAGATGGTGTAACACCGCTCTGGCAGCCCCTCTGCCAGTCCTGTGCAGACAGTCCTGTGCCTGGGACAGCTGATGTCCACGCTCTCTAATGAAAAGTCGGATCCTGAAAACTTCAACAAACTTTGGAAATACCCTGATTGCTTTTATTAATTTGCGTATATTAATTATCAAATACCAAGGTAAAAGTGGTGACAAGGATGCAGTAGCCTCTTTCTAAATGTAACTACCTTTTCAAATTAAGCAATAAAAAAGACAGACCGTGTATTAAGTTTGTTTAATGCAAATATGGGTGTGTAGCTAGCTGCAAACCAAGCATTAAACTGGTTTTTGAACAATGAAAAATCCGGCCACAGACATTAACTTGCTCCAGATCAATTTTCTCCAAAGAAAATGCACAGAAAATGGGTGGTCTGCGTCACATGTGGAAAGCCAGGCCAAAGGGCAACCAGGGACACAGCATTGTTGTCAAACACCAAAATGGCTTTTTTCTTCCCCAGCAAATACCCTAACTCCTACCCTTGCTATTCTCTCCTCCCCCTCTGCTTTTCCGCATCTAGCTCCTGCACTCTAGTAAATTGTTTCTTTATTCTTTTGCTTAAAAGCATACCCTGGCACACTATTGTCTGTGGATCAATATGTGCACTCAGACTGGGAGTCATATGCAAAAAATGAGTAAATGGAAAAACTGATACAGATTAGTAGGAGAATAGTTAATGAAAGCTTTTATTTTACTTTTTGTATTAAGAATAGTCTTATATAAACAAAAAAATTTCAATATCAGGGAAAAAATCTTGAAAATGTAAGGTTTCCTTTTAGAAGCAGATTGCTTTAAGGTGAAAATGATTGTAAAGTGATGTCTATGGTGGATGAGAGTATGCCTGTGTAACTGTTATATGTGATATCTAATCATTATCTTGTTCAGGGACAAAAGTCACATTTATTAAATGTTCTGTTTATGACTTAAACCCACACAATGTCTGTAAATTTGTAATTAGGATGCAAACCTCTAGTATCTATTTACAATAAGATCTGGTCTTGAATTACAATTAGATGTGACACTCGGTATTAAATGTCAATTCTCTGAAAACCTTGTTTTCTGGTTCTCTCACATACCAAAATTGAAGTAGCAGTAAACACATTTTGGTCAATAATTTAGCTTTCTGTCTAATGTCCTTGGAAAATAAATGTTTGCAATGGAAACAGTGATTTGTCTTCAACAACAGGGTAATGAATGTATTCTTTTAATGGGATTTTTGTTGCAGTCTGAAATACTAGATGTTCATGTCAAAAGGAATAAGACATGCCAACTAAGGAATGGTTAAGTATTTTTTAAAAAAAACATATTACAGCTATATTTGAAAAAAAGGTGTGCTTTCCCCTCATTATTTAGCAGCCTTGTGTTGGGTTATCATAAGTGCAAAGGAGGCAGCTTTGTTTCCTTACCATTTTGGGGTCTTTCATGCCTATGTTTTTCAGGGCCATCACAGCAGTCGCATGGACCTTCAGTGGCAGATCTGAGGCACTGGCTGCATATCCTGGCAAAAATTTCTTGATGTGCTTGATGCTGGCTGGATGTCCTACATTCCCAAGGGCTTTCAAAGCCAGGGAAATTTCTTCTGTGTTAGACTTGCTCAATGCCTCTCCTGCAAAGCCATGAAGTAGCTGAAAAAAGAAAACAAATCTTCTGTTGAGTTCAATTCCAGCTCTTATATTGCATCCCATATCCCCTATCCCCAGCCTATTCTGAGGTTTGACTTTGATAATTTCAGTTTGTTCAATTCACTTATTTTAAATATTTTCAAATTCTTTTTGTCCTCATGAATAGGACATTTTATTCATAGAACAAGCATAGCCAAGAAAGCTGCAATGAACAGCTTCTTCATCACTATTCCTTAAAGTTATCAAGTAAGATTTTTAAAGGAAAAAGTAATGGCTAGGAGCTAGTTCCCACTGCCTTTCAGGGTGAGTTGAGAACCCTGCAATAATGCTGTTTGAATATCTCTGTCTAATGGTTGAAGACAAGTGCAAAAATGCAGATACAGTTAAATTCTTCAGACACTTAAATAAGATTCCTGAAGATATGGCTAGAGGTGGTGCCCTTAACTTCAGCTGACAGCCACTTTTTATTGTGGATTAATAGCTGTCAATGTGATCATCGGGCCATTTTACAGGCTTCGTTGTAAGCAGCTGGATCACACATTTACGTGGCAAGATTAGAAATAGTTGTCTGAAGGCTGAATATGAGAAAAGAACTAAGTCCTAATAGAAAACTGTTTTCAATGCTAAAAAATGGCTGTAAAAAAGAAACCCTGAGATGTTATAGAATAATTTCAATACAGCTCCCATGCTTTAAAATATCACATTTGAGATCCATTGATGGTGCAGAAACAGTCCATTTGATATACTAACCAAATGAATGGCCATTTGAAATGCATTGAATAAGCCTCTACAATCATTTGCTTTGGGAAGGAATTTCCATCCCCTGGCACTGGGCTTAGATTTAATTAGCTCAAGAGCACTGGTGGCAGTCGTGACACAAGAGATGCACGTAGGAACGTTGGCTATGCCTGTGTACTACAGGAAAAAAATCATGGCAGGCACACAAAGTATTGGGAACACCCTGCTCTTACTGGGGATGGTGGACTGACC